GATAGAAACCGGTGCATGATCACTGATAGTGATAGGGTGAATCTGAGTGTTGGAAATGTCTGTCATAATTGAGCTGCTAACCAAAAAATAGTCAAGGCGAGAATATGAGTGGTGGACTGGTGAAAAGAAGGTATATTCTCTAAGAGTGGGGTGGTGAGAACGCCAAACATCGCAAAGACCAAAATCGCTCATGTATTGTTTAAGGATGTCTGTTGATTTCCAAATACGGTGACCACCTGCCGTACTGAGCCTGTCAACTGCTGGATTACATACCATGTTGAAGTCCCCTCCTAATATAAGAGCTGTGTCTGAGTGAGCAGAGAGTGAGTTGAAGAAAGCATGAAAAAAGGAGGGGTCGTCAACATTTGGGCCATAGATGTTAGCAATGCATAAAGGAGTATTTTGAATCGAAATGTTAACAATAATGATTCGACCCTCTGGATCAATAGTAGTGGTATTATGATTGAAGTGTGTTTTTCTATTTATCATAATGGTGACACCCCTTTGTTTTGAGTTATAACAGGCTGAGTATGAGTGAGGAAACTGTGGTGAGGTTAGTTTATCTGCTGTCTTGGGTAAATGAGTCACCTGTAGTAGCACAATGTCTGCTTGCAGATTATTTAGATGGTTAAAAATTTTTAATCTCTTTTTCCTTGAACCAACTCCGCGTACATTCCAAGAGGTGATTTTAATTGTGGTCATCATTCAACTAAGGGATGTGGTGAAGGCTAGTGTGTGCAGTGTGCGTGTTGTATCCTTGTGTGTGTTGTATGCGCCTGCGTGTGTGTGCTAGTGGTGTGCCCGACTGTTTGTGAATTAAACAGTATGAAAATTGTGCGGCTGATCGACGTGTAAACGGCAGAGGAACAGCAACATTAACAAAAGAAAGAAACAGTGAAACAAAAACAGAGGATATACACAAAACATTATCGGACAGTCTACTACATTCAGCTGCACTCTTTGCCAACCTTCATCTTAGAGTCCTGTAGCTACTGACGGACATCTGCGGCTTAGCATCGCTTCATAACATTTCACAAGAGAAGACTATCGGCTCCAAACCATGAATATTGAGACACGGTTACCAATTATCTGCTTCATAGCTGAGGTGTTGTAATCTGGTGCTGCATCAGGTGGAATCTGATTTGTGTGCCGGTCCTACACACCTAAGACTCGAAAACATAGCTGCTGTTGCTCTATGTTTAATGTAGTGTATCTAATGCAGTATTGGCGTTAAGTTTGTGGACATCTCTGCTGTGGTATGCATGGTAAGTGTGGGGAGTGATGATGGCAGAGACTGCACGCCAAATATCAACAGAGTACTCTGTTTTCACATACTACTACTACTACTACTACTACTACTACTACTACTACTACTACTACTACTACTAATAATAATTAATGCATTCAGTTTGAGCTGGCTAATGAAACTACAGTTAACCACCAGTATTTCATTAAATGCAAAAATCACACCACAAACTTTCTTCCACAAATATTACATTCACATAAATTAGTGAAAGAAAAGTAAATCTTGACATGAGTCAAAAATATTGTTGTAGATTTTAATCTTCTGTACTTTTATTAATCTTTATCTTCTCATCTTTCTTATATCTCTAAACACTTTGCAGTTTTCAGTGTAGGTAATTATTAATCAATTAATTGTTTCAGCTGATGTACCATTTAGTAAGTACAATGTAGAGATGCCTTTAAATAAATATGAGCACACATACTATTGGTACTATTGGAGTAAATAAAGGAAAGAGAAATGTACCATATGTGTGAGTACAGTAGATTAACAGTTAAAGTTCCCCAGAGTATTAATGAGTAACTTCAGTGTGTTTGTGAAGTATCTCATATTATGAATATTTTTTTTGTGTGTGCCAGTAGATAAAGTCCTCCATAGTCTATTTCTGATGTGATACAATATTAATCAAATATAATTTGCCCAATTCCATAGAATCACATTTCATACTCAGCTTTATTAAAATAAGCTTATACAATTGGGACACACGTTTTTTCTGTTCCAGTATTTCTACAGTAGCAAAGACTGCTAATGTCAGTGGAGAGGATTCTGTACGTATACCATTTGATGTATAACTTTGGTTTCTTAAGTGTTAAATGAAGCCATCTTTATGCTTTCATCATCGGCTTCTGATGGACTACTAAGAGCTGTCACAAAATTGTTCCATTTGTTGCTTTGAAGAACAACAATATGTAACGAAATGTGACCAAAACAACTTTAAACTCTCCTCTACATTATAACAGCATTCTCACGCAGTGGAAAATATCCCATGGAAGATCTCAGAAGTTAGGATGAAAAGTGACAAACAGTATTGTTGTACTTGTTGTAAGTTGGTTTATGTGGGATATTTGGGAAAAATTCATCAGAATGAAATGCTCTTAAATATAAAAAGTGAAAATGTGACACATAGTCATCAAATGTTTTTTTTTCTGGTTTTCCTGCTGGAAACAGTACTTTGTACTATTTCTCTTGTGTTTGTTTAGCTCATTATGTTAACGCATTGACGCCATAAAGAAAACTTGTGCATCTGAAAAAGAAACACTTTTAATGAACTACATTTTTGTGATCTCAAGACATTTCCCTTAAAGTTTGGAGCATCTTGAAATCATTTTTACAAAAACCTGGACTGAAGAGACTATCACTAATGGATCCAAGAGCAACATAGCCTACAGTATTCAGTACAGCTGCAGAAAACAGAGCAGCCTGAATGATTTGTTTCCATAATTGCCACCCAATTAATGAGCGAACTAAAACAGTGTGTCCTGCAGCAGTTTCCTCTGCTTTGTCCTCAAATTCAAGCCATATTAAGTTGTGCCTATTCAAATGACACGTCCTTTGGAAGATAAACATTCCCTTTATTAATTAATGCTGCTGGCTCAGTAATTCCTGCTTCTTGTTGTGTGACACAGTCCCCAATGTATTTCTCTGTTGTATCAGGCTGCAAACATTTCATATTTCAAAAGTATTTT